TTTTACCAATCATCTTTCATGGGCAGTACACACATCACAGGCAGCTTTACAAGCAAAGAAAATATCAATAGGTATAACAAAATATATACATATTTTAGGCGACTTGTCTTACAAGTCTTTTTTCAAAGTATTTGACGCCAAAATATACCCAATTTTGTTATATGGTGCAGAAGTATGGGGTTTTAAAACTTTTGATGTTATAGAAAAAGTCAATTTGTATGCATGCAAGAAATTTCTGGGCGTAAAAACAGCCACGTCAACTTGTATGGTCTACGGAGAATGTGGAAGATATCGATTATACATAGAATCAAATGTAAAAATTATTAGATATTGGTTGAAAGTATTAACAATGCCCTCACACAGATTGCCAAGAAAATGTTATGAAATGATGATACTATATGATAGCCATGGGAAACGTAATTGGGTAACAGACATAAAACAGTAAAATTTGAGTTATTATCATCTATCGGCTTCGGCAATGCCTGGCATGAACAATTTGTAGAATCTCATTCTCACTTTGTCTGTACAGTTAAACAAAGACTTAAAGATATATTCCTTCAAAATTGGTTAACTAGTCTCTCATTATCTAATAAATGTTTTTACTACAAAATGATAAAAGATTCCATATATACAGAACATTATCTTTCAGTCTTGACCATAAGGAAATATAAATCTTCATTGGCGAGATTCCGCTGCTCCGCGCATGATTTATACGTTGAAACTGGGAGATACCAAGGTACAGTGGACTCTGTCAATACCGGCCTCTGAAAACACCGGCACTCTGTCTACATCGGCACTAAGTTTCAGTCCCGGCAGAAATGCACGTAATTATCATTTAGAAACTTCTGTAAACATCGGCATCTGTCTATTCAGGATATCGGCATTGTTTTTCAGTCCCAACGAACAAGTTGTTATGAAAACGAATCTGTAAAACCGGCACATGAAAGACGGCGTAACCCTTTGATTCAATTAGGTCTAAATGATGTAACAACACAATTGGCTGTGACTCCCGAGATTATTCAGAAACGGGAAGTGTTAATCAGTATCTTGTTAATCAGTGAGTGCTACGTACCACTTACCTAGGGTAATTAATACATGCAGTGGGCAGTTTGACTGTAAAAACAAGCAAGTGTTTACATTTTGTTGATTCACGGGTTTGACTCCCGAGATTATTCAGAAACGGGAAGTGTCAATCAGTTTCTTGTTAATTAGTGAGTGGCACGTGTCACTTACATAGAGGCGAATCGTTTGATGGCGGGTATCGTTCGAAAGCTCTGAACATCAACAATATCACTGTACTCTTGCTGAGAGTATTTTCACATTTGTAAGAAGCGATTTTATTGGATAAAGATTGGTTTATAACGACGCTTTTTCACTACAGTCTGCTTATGACGGTCGTGATTGGTCAAAATCAGACACGTGACCTAAGCAGCCAATGATATTATGGAAATGGATACCGTCCTCGTAAACGAAAACTTTTAGATTAAGACGAAAGTTTTTGGGTAAAATAATGCTATTCTGAACATATTAAGCAAGACATCGCTACCTATACGTAAATTATGGAACTTATTGGACATATCGTGCTAGGTTATGGCCTATGAGAAAAATGCTTCATGCATATATTTTCGCATTAAGCATCGTGTCCGGGCGTCAAGACGGAGGCGGCGAAAGCCGAGATGTAACTTGTCAGTGACTTGACTTACATTACATGATCACACAAAATTACTATGGAAATAGTAATTTTATATGTACGCTTGACAACTTTTATGAATGTTATTGTTGATTTCAATTTATTTAATGATTTCCTCGATGTTTGAAACATCGTTACTTTGCTATTTGACAATGCTATTGCAGACCCGCTGCCGAAGCATAAACAAGAATCGTTGTTTTCAATAACATTGCGAAAAATAGTTTATAATTTTAATTCTGCCGATAATATATGATCAGTTGAAATTTAATAAGAGTTTTCAGACATTTTTATTTGAATGAATCAACATAAATGTGCATTCAGACACTGCCTTGTTTCTTATTCAAACATCTTGTTAATGCTAAAGTGACAGTACGACAGCGAACTTCCGTGTGCGCAGGCGTCATAAGCGAACCTAGCTAAACCGGCACTCTGTCAAAACCGGCATTTTCTTATGCCGGTATTGACAGAGTACACTGTATTGAGAAAGAAAGTAGAATCTGCCAAATGTGCAACTTACACGAGGTCGAAGATGAGTTTCACTTTTTATGTGTTTGCCCAGAATACTTATCGTTAAGAAATAGATATATAAAGAAATATTATTATGTACATCCTGAAACGCATAAGTTTATATCATTGATGAATAATTCCAGTAAAACACATTTAGAAAGATTGTCCATATATATATCCATAAAGCTTTTATTCTCAGAAAGAATGTTCTACTACCCGCACATGATTAAACAATGTACTACAGGCCTGTGGCCTTTCAGTATGAAATAAAGATTGATTGATTGACTATGCAAGTTACTTAACAATGTGAAAGTTAAAATAAATGTACTGGTGCACATTATATACATGTATTGCACTTGCATACAACACTTGTAATGTGTAGTTATCTATTCGCTGTAATTCTTCACTCAAATGTATTAAGACATTCAGTTTATATTAACTGTAGATTTGGCTTTATGTCATTTGTCATTTAATTACCCAGGCACGAGTGTCAGTGTGTCAATTCTGACTGTACTGGTAGGCCTGATTTGACACTTGTGCACGACTATATGATAGTCACATTTTATCTTACCTGGGTACTATTATTACTTAGTCTACATAAGTGTGTCATGGTAGTATATATGAAATGGGAGAATACATTAATTGTGTAAATGGTTTCCATTGATATAGGTCAATACTTACAATGTTGGTGTCCGATGAAGGAAAGACAATATTTGAGTAATTTATATGACTATTTCATGTTTTATGTCACCAAATTGAAATTAGAAGCATATTATGTGGTTATCTCTATATCATGCATCATAAGCTGCCTTTTGATATGCTACATGACTATGTTGTAATAGGTTTATAAAAACATGTTTTTTCTCGAAATGGTGTCGCAAGCAATTTTGGGAACTCATATTCAATCACACACAATGACACTTATTGCAAACAGAAAAAATGGAACCATGTTTTGTTATGAATCCATACACAATAGTGATTACGAATAGTATTGGTTCCAAAAATTAACATGTGATTCCCACGGAATTACACAAGCCCCTGCACTATAGTTATCCACTCAAAATATATGTAACGGTAAAGCAAAAGAATAACCAGTCTTCATTATCCTCAGAAAGAAATTCAATTATAACTGAAAAACAGTGATGGCGCCATGTGTTCGGGAAAAGATGCTCGCAGTTCCTATAACAGTGATTTCATGTAGATTTGTCTCAGGTGGATAGGCGTAACATAGTTTTATGTTTGCAAATTTTCCTGACGTGTCCTAATGCCCAGGATCCGCCACACCCTGGAACTCTTACATTGCTCAATGTATGGGATTACACACCTGGCTCCTTGTCCTGTGTTACCATCCGTGTTATCGGGTGGTTTATTGCTCAGGTGTCAGATTAACTCATGCAAGTATTTTGGAGACTTTACTCAGCTCGACGGATAGATTGTCTCTTCGATCATATTTTTCCGTTCGTTCGTACATTTTCATGTTCGCTGTGATACAGTCCATCTGTGGATATTAATAATAACAGTGGATATTTGTAAAGTGCCAGTGTCCACGCACTGAAGCATGCTCATGGCTCATCATGGACAATGAATCTCTAAGTCTCCACCTTTTGAAACAAGTACAAACTACAAACTGTGAAAATAGGAAATGACGAAAATGTCCCTACCGCATTCCATACCAAACAATGGATTTTTTTATTTTAAAGAGGCTGTTATAAACAAAGAAATTGTTCTTCTTCAGACTGTCGATAAATGGGGCAAACCCATTTTGTCTTGATAGCTAAAGTAACAAACCACTAAGACAGAAACGTTTAAGCTGGACCTAGTCCTTTACGTGAAGACATCTTACCTGGCATGGCGCTACCATACACAACCAAGTAGTGTGTTACCCGGATTGACGGACATACGTGGGGCAAGTAAGATTGGGTTTTACGTCCCTTTGAATATCTGTTTAGTAAAACCATGTGGTGTAAGATAAATGAAGCAAGAAAGTCTGATGTCATGCACATCTTGGAAGTTTGTCACTTTGGGGAAACCCACAAGCATGGGTCAGAGCGAATATGAGATTCGAACCCACAAGAATTGGTCACTTGGGCGTAACTTTGTGCTTTGCGCCTCACATGTCTTTAGTTCCTGCGTCAAGGTACACTTTATATACCACCGTATCATTTTCCCATCCAAGTGTGATAAACATTCCAAAGCCATTCCTTAAAAAAACCTTCGTTTTAGGAATGTCGCCATCTTGGATTGCTAAATCGTTTCTCGCGAACTGGACTCGAAACAGCGTTCTCGTGTCAAAAAGGCCCAGTATGATAACATAATGAAGACACAACACAGTGGATAATCGAGGGTGGTTTCGGCTTCACTGATCGTAAAGCGTCACTCTTGTTTGCGGTAATAGCTTTAGCTAGTTGAAAAAAATATCACAAATATTGAAACTCTGCCATAAAAGGAGTCATGTATATTTTCCATTGAACACAGGTGTGTGCACAGGGTCATACCTTGTTTTCAATTTGTTCGTTTGTTTGTTTGTTTGTTTGTTTTTTGCTTAAGGCCGCACTCAGAAATTTCCCAGCTATATGAAGGTGGTCTATAAATAACAGAGTCTAGACCAGAATATCAAGAGATCGATAGCATGAGTATCATTTGGGATACGATGACATATGTCATAAAAATCAACGAGTCTGGCCACCCGATCCCGCTAGTCGCCTCTTTGGAGAAGTATGGTTTGTAGAGGACTAATTGTAACCCAAATCTGAATAAAAGTTTTTACATGAAATATAGTCGACATAAATGACAAAAGAATGAATTAACCATGAGGCCTGGCGATCAGCTTTTAATATGCAGTTGCACAAGGTTTGAACCAACATGACATAATTAACTGTACATGCTGCAGTGAACAGATGCCTTGAAAGGATTCAGGATTACATCAGCAAGAAGCCTGAAAACTGTGTCCATGGACTTTGTCTCAAAGCGCCGTCTGGTCCGTGGTATCTAATGATCTTCACCTTGTGACCTTTTCGTACGGGAAACACGGCAGTCCCTGAACCAGTTGACCAAGCCTTTTCGACACGGACTCTTGTGGAATAGGCACTGTCTTCGCTTTTAAGTTGGTATTCTTGTCCAGATTTACTCGTCACCATCACCTGGATGGTGAACAGGTAAAATCCTGGTGGAAAGAGAAACACAAATGAAGGTAGGTACTGATATGTAATCAAAATTCGCCAAGCACGCAGCGAAAGATTATGTCCATTTTGCATTGTACCCGTTGTCGAGTCAGAGTACCACTTCTGCATGAAATGTGACTTTTATAACAATCTTCGTCGGAATCTGCTGCCTAGTTTAGCTAAATATGTATTTCTAGCTTTTAAGAAACGCTCAAGCTGTTGAACTGTATAACAAAAATAGTGTTCATCATTGATTCATCTCTCATGCTGTATGAACCTATTTAATGGGCCGGTGGCCCCCTTACGGAAATAACACAGTTTCAACAAATGTAATGTAAAATGCACACGTAATATAGCAGTTTTGTTTGTTTCTTGTTTAATGCCGCATTCAGCAATATTCCAGCTTTATGATGGCGGTCTATCATTAACCGTGTCTGGAACTGAAAATCTAGTGATTCACATCATAAGCAGCGATCTACGCAATTGGGATACGATGATACGCTTACAACCCGAGCCTGAACACCCGATCCCGTTAGTCGCCTTTTACGAGAAGCACGGATTTCTGGAAGATCCATTATTCACGTGTCAATACAGCAACAATTGAGTGAGTCGGATTTAACACTGACTTCAACAATATTTCAGTTTTATCACGGCTTGTCAGATTGGAGGTGGAGAGAAGCCCGAAGTGTTAGAAGATTAATGCTAAAAACATAATTAGGGCGAACTGGCAGTAGAACCCACAGAAAACGATTTCCGGCATGGCGAAGGGACTTAACTCTTCACGACCCAGTTGACGGCAGGACCACTCGACATCAAAGGGTAAGCCTACATTGACATACATGGTCAGGCACATTCAAAGAAATACAAGGAGGTTAACGACAGATGTTACAAGGGGTTCAACACTTAGCCTGAGAGAATGTCGGACTCCATCCGGGTTTTTAACGTTTCTCAACTCCAACCTCAACACGAGAGTGGATGGGCGAAAAAACATATAAAACATTGAATATGTTTTTCACATAAATTTCATATATTTTGCATATATCTTCTTAATTTAGACATTTTAAAATTTAGATCACTTGGTAATAGCCTTTGGATTAGTTTATAATGTAGATCGAGATTGTTTCAGAAACTATCTTTTAATGAATATAGATTTCACGTCGGGATGCAGAGCGGGCGGGAAACAGAAAACACAGGAAAAGAATGGATTACGGAGACAGCCTGATCCTTCACATGGGGAATCTGTTAAGTCCCCATTGAATCCCCACCACCATAACTGAAAACCAACACAACTCCAACCACACATGACATTAAATGGTCTGATCCACAGCACACAGTTGTTCTGGATGGGGGTCTTACCTGATACAGGGGCAGTAAATTCACCAGTTGTCGGGCTGTAAGCTTCTCCGATGTTCTCGTCAACTTTGTCAAACACAACTGTGCCTTTAAACTTAACGTCTGTGTCCTTGGTCAGTGAAGTTACGAAATGCACTGTTCCTGTGGAAGAAAATGGGCCCGAATTTTATCAGCATCCGAACCTTTCTAAAGCCGCCATTTACCCAACTGTCATTGTCATGTGTTTTGACGACCGAATGTTTATTGTTCAATAGAAAACTTTATACTTACGACGGAAATTGCAGGACGCATAGTGTACGCTCACTGCAACAAATATAGTCGTATATTAGGGGTTACATCCAGTATATATAAATAATTGATAGTTGATCAACTTATCTTACATGTATTTACAAAAGAAACATTACAAAATCATTACACTGCTAGGTTATTTGAACACACAATACCTGCTAAAATAACGGATGTTAGTCCAAGCAGTCTCATCCTCTTTCAGGGCCTAAAAAAAATATATACCGCTATTGGTGACCAAGATAATCATAGTATACGTCTCTTCTAAAGGGGATTCCACGGGTTATCTGTTATGAAGGTTATACACTGGAGTACAGGTTATCTGCTACTGAAGGTTATATACTCGAGTAGAGGTTATCGGCTATGAAGGTTATACACTCGAGTACATGTTATCTATTATGTGGGTTTGCATTCGATTTAAGGTTATCTGATATGAAGGTTATACACTGGAGTACAGGTTATCGGATATGAAGGGTATACGCTCGAGTAAAGGTTATCTGCTAATGAAGGTTATACATTCGAGTACAGGTTATCTGATATGAAGGTTATACACTGGAGTACAGGTTATCTGCTATGAAGGTTATCCACTGGAGTACAGGTTATCTGATATGAAGGTTATCCACTGGAGTACATGATATCCGATAATTATGAAGGTAACAGAACATAATATCGTATATGATAAAATCATGTCTTATAAGAATGCAATGGTACATGAGATCTGATACGATTGTATAATAAGGTACCAGTACATGATACCTGAGATGGAGGTGAGGGGAAATGGGGTTTAACGTCGTACTTAAGAATATTTCTCTCATGTGACGCCGTGCATGCGTGTATATGTGTGGCTGCTTGTACTAACCCAGACTGAAGCTGGTTTTATAGTGCTAGCTCACTAAGATACCATGCCACAGTTACCCCACTCATACACATTATACTGACTCCGAGCTGACCAGTCCTTGTTGTACTCAGGCAGGGACCAACAGGTACCATATCATAACGTCTTTGACGCGGCCGGGGATCGAACCCACGACCTTCCGCTCTTCGGGCGGACGCTCTAACCACTACACCACGGAGGCGGTCTGATATAGAGGTAATAGTGCATGTTACCTGCTATGGAGGTAACAGTACATTATACTTAATGTGAAGGTAATGGCATCTGACCGGAAGGTGATAGTACATGATATCTGGTACGAAGGTAACACTGCCTGACATATCTGCTACCAATATTATTGCACATGATGTATGCTGAGAAGGTTATAGCACAGGAAATCTGCTTTTAATTTTCCAGTCCATGAACTCTCTGGTTGTTGTTGTTGTTGTTCATAAAGCCATCATTGGGCATTATCATTCACGGGACCCAGAGTTCCGACATCAACAGCTGAATGGTCCAGGGGCTTCCGTAAATGATAATGCTATGTAAAGACGTTATTGTATATCAGCTCAAGGGACCTTTTTCTTACTAGGCATCATCATATCCCTTGAAGGGGCGATGAAAGAAAACAATAACTTGGGAAGCATACATTATTTACACGAAAACCGTAAGAGAAGTAAACTCATCAAAAAGTAAACACGTCACTATAAGCCTCATGTCGTCATCTATCTATACTTGTAACATTATTTTATAACATGTCCTGTGATAAATGTACAGACCTTATTCCTTGAGGTTAATGCAGAAAGCAAGTAGGAATGTTATGTACATTGTGCTAAATGATGTGTACCATGTATCAAAGGCTATCACACATCAGGAAACGTGTATAAATATTTCGAAAAACAAATTCAAACAATCCAAAAAACAACTTTTGAGGAACGCTTTTGGTAAAGCAATTTCAAAATGTGAATATGTGTTTTTCAAGCTTGTGAGATGAAGATTATCCAGGTAACCTCATTTAGCATGTTTATCGAATTGTGATACTAAGCTATCGGTTTGTTTATCATTTATTAACAACATTCATTACAGACGAACCTTGCTTGTCTCGAAAGATGAGTTTTCTCAATTATTGTCCGGATAAAGGGTCTTCCGGATATCTGAATTCTTTGTCAGTTACCTTCTATACCCAGACACCCAAATTCTACGGAGGCAAAAAAAACCCTATGTGTATGATAAATATATAGAACGTCATACTAGTGCATTTGGATGTTTTGTATTGAACGAGATGATGTCATGGGAGCAGAGAAACAATGAGTTTGAAGAACGAGTTGTTTCTCTGCTCCCATGACATCTTCGAGTTTGATCCGTATTGCACACCTGCATTACTATGCTAAGTTTACATGGGTATATAATAAATATACTTACGTCAGATATCCAGCGATGAAGTTGAAGACCCAAAGACCACGGCCAATTGATTGACGTAATGATCAGTGACCACGTCCACGGCAGTCGTTTCAGTGGGTTTATATAGCCATGCTTCCACTCAAAAATATCGAAAATAAGTGTCACTGTTGTAAAAGTTATTGAAATTTACAACCTACCACATCAGATGGTGACATCGTAAATTTGGCCAAGTAACTGATACCCGGATGAAGACGTGTTGCTTGAGTTGCAGAGGTTGTTAAAAGCAATAAATAAGGTAACAGTAATCCTAATTCCTAGATTTACTGGCTTCATGTGTGTACACAGCTTTACCTTGTTATAATGCTGACACCCCGAGAACGCGTATGCATTTGGGATATTTAGTTGTCTTTCAAGACCAACAACAGTATCTGACACTAAAAATAGTAACATTTGGATACCATGTTTACCATTTGAAGCTATTTCAATATATACTTCATAAATGAAAAATGAAAATATGAAAGGACTCAAACTACAGTCTTGTCTTAAACCCAAGGGACAATCAAAGAAATCTTTTTTCACCGTCCCTGCTACGAACACATGACCTCAGATTACAATACATTGTTTTTATAATAGCAACCATTTCCCTCGTAGTCCAACTTCCCGTAGACATAATTTTCCATTTCTTAGAGCGATTCACTGAATCAAAGGCTTTCTTGAAATCTACAACTGCTACATACAATTTATGTTTTCGTCGTGGCAAAGTCTTTTGGATAAGTGCATAAAGTGTAAATATATGATCTGAGGTAGAATAGTTTTTCTAAAGCCACCTTGAAATTCAGAAATTGTATCACGCATGTTCGCCCATTTAGAAATTCTATTATGTAATAGTTTTGTAAATATGTTTCCTGGAATGCTCACTAAAGAAATACCCCTATAGTTGTCTGGGTCACTCGTATCATCTTTCTTATGCATTGGAATCATTATAAAACATGGCAAAGTGGTTGGGAAAACACCTTCATCTAATAGCTTATAAAAACGTTTGCAAAGAAAAGGCATAACTACAAACCTGGAACACATCAACATTTCAATAATTATATCATCTGGGCCTGCTGCTTTTTCATTTTCATTATTTATTTTCATTTAGGTGTTCTATCGCATCAAATATTTCGCTTTCAACAATGGATGAATCTAACACAAGTTCATCAACATCACAATAGCATTCAGTAAAATGATTCTGGATGTCATCAATTTCCATGTCGAATATTGTGTCCTTTGAAAAAAAACTGTGTTTTGACTCGGCATCGATCGTCAACAATTGGAGGTGAGATTTTGGGAACCCTTTTCATAGTCTGTTAATCACAGGCTGTGAAACATTGAACGTATTGGACACGGCTGGTTGATTTCTCCCAGTTTCAAAGATGCCAATACCCCCTGGACGCTCTGTTTGTTGAAGATGCCTCGTTGCTGCTTCATATACAAAGAATGTATGAAATTCAACTTAAATTCAACAGAAGCAATAAGCTTGACACCAGTGAGTGTATTCCCAACAGCATGGTTGCTGTATTATATGTCATGGCTTCCGCAGGTAATGGCAATTGCATCATGAGCCGACTTGTCAAGTTCTTGGCCACTTCTACAACTAACCATCTTGGTTGGTGATGAAACCATTATCCTTTGATCAATTTCAGCAACAGAAAGTATGCTTTTTTATACAAAAGGAGGGGTCATGTTGATAGTGTGACTCTCCAACATAAATATATTCACCATTGGTACATTCAGTGTCATGGATGGTGTTGTTAGTTTGACAAGAAGGGTCTTTAACCATTGTTCGTAAGTCTAGCTATAAAGGAATTCTAGGTATGCTTTCAAAGTAGGAGTTATTAGTTTAGTATTCATTTTGGATTGATTGGTATGAAGTCAATACTGTATGGAGATGGGTTCAAAGGGAAAGTCTCCTCTAACTTCATAGAACATTTTAATTGATGTTTGAAACCTGTCTCTTTCTCAAGTTGATCAAGGTGGACAATCAGAGTTCTTGATATCCCAAAGGACCTCACGAGGGCTGCATACTACACCATATGTTGCAGCGCAGTGGGGGTGCATATTTTCCTGTCCTAGCTCAAACAGTTTCCCTTTTGTCTGTTCAACACGAAAATGACGCAAGTTATTTGTATATCTCTGGATCACAATGTGGTGATTCATAATTTATGCAGGTGATCGGTTGTAATGGATGCAGTGTATCCATGGCCTAAGTGCATGAGACGGAAATTATACTTAAATTTGTTCGAATAAGATACTTAATATGGCTGCAACAGCCCAGACCAAATAACAAGTTGAACACGTGCACTCCCTGACTTTGTATACTAGTAACTATATTTTCTTACTTTGAAATTTTTTAACTCTTTGTTGCCAATATGTAACCAGCCCAAACATGGAGTTGAGTACTCCCTGTCTTTGTATACCTATCTGACATGAATAAACATATTTTAAAAAATTATTTTTTTGAAATAACACGTTGAAAACGTCTTCAGCAAGAACGGAAAATGTGCTATTCCCATTTCTTTGCAATAATTAAAATGACTAACTTGTCTCGATTTCTTCGAACAAAACAGTAGCTGTCACCATATACTTATTGGTGACTGCACTCGTTTGTGATCTTCGGGAATATAGTCTAAAGAAGCATATGCTTGATAATATCAGTCGATCCACATGTTTAACATTCCAGCAAAAGGATAACCAGTCTTGATTATCCTCACAAAGTTATTCTAGTAGAAATGAAAATCAGTGACACCAGGTGTTCAGGAATATGGTAAGCATGTCCTGCTCAACACGCAATTCACATTCCATAAAACCGCCTCCGTCGTGTAGTTATTAGAGCGTCCGCCCGGAGAGCGGAAGGTCGCGGGTTCGATCCCCCGCCGCGTCATACCAAAAGACGTTAAGATAAGGTACTTGTTGGTCCCTGTCTGGCGCTAGGCATTAATGTGTAGGACTGGTTGGCTCGGAGTGTCTGAGTTGCGTATTCATGCTTAACTGTGGCATGGTATCTCAGTGAGCTAGCACTATAAAACCAGCTTAAGTCTGGGTTAGTACAAACAGCCGCACATGCATGCACGTCATCATATTTGCGAAATATTCTCAAGTACGACGTTAAATCCCATTTCACCTCACCTCATTTCCATAAAACAGTGTGACTCAGGTGAGCTTAGGCTGGGCATATATATACTGAGTCAAAAAAGAAATTTCACAAAATGTTATTTGAAAAATAATGAATAATTTTTCTCTGATGATACATCTATGTATCCGAAATGGGATCCCTATCTTTCGACTCTAGAAAAACGTTAGCAAAACCCACTCAAACCCATCCATTCCTCATGCAAATGATGTTAGTGCCAAATCAGGTTTTGCACGTGCAGTCGATCACGTGATCTTCGCATCGAAGTTTTCTTCATATGCACGTGTTTGCATTGGCCTCAAGAATTGAAAAAACACTTTTAAACCACAGTTCTAACGGTACTTGAAATGCCACGATTGTCAAATGTGCAACGTGAACGTGCCGTTGGCATGTTGCAAGCGGGAAGATCAGTTATTGACGTCGCAAGAGCAATGGGATGCAACCGTCGTACTGTGTATGACTTGCGAGGTCGTCTACAACAAACTGGCACCACTTCTGATCGCCCAAGGTCGGGTCGTCCACGTGTGACGTCACGAGCAAAAGACCGTCAAATCGTCCTACGTCACCTACGTGACAGATTTCTGCCGGCTACACGAACCAGGGCTGAGATGTTTAGAGGTCGACTGTCCTCACAGACCATTCGAAATCGGTTGTGGGCTGCCAATCTCCATTCTCGACGTCCATATCGTGGGCCAATACTGACGCCGTTTCATCAACGTCAACGTCTGCTGTGGGCCCAACGTCACCTCCGATGGACCCAGAGAGACTGGAATCGAGTCGTCTTTAGCGATGAATCCAGGTTTACCCTCAGATTCGTGGACGGCAGGCACAGAGTCTGTGTACAGGAAGTCAATGTTGTGTACAGGAAGTCGACAGATTGGGGGGCGAAAGTTGCATGGTGTGGGGTGCTTTCTGTGGGAACAACCGTTCCCGACTTCTGGTCATCCGTGGAAACCTCACAGCTGCTGCTTACCGCGACCAGGTGCTCACCCCTGAACTCGTTCCTTTCATGGCGGCTCATGGCCCAGGTCTTCAGTTCCAGCATGATAATGCTCGGCCGCATACCGCGATGTTGACACGAAATTTCCTTCAAAACGCTGGAATCAACGTCATGGACTGGCCATCGAGGTCCCCTTAATCCAATAGAGCACGTTTGGGATGCACTTGGGAGAAGGCTTCGTGGTCTTAGGAACCAACCTCAGAATTTGAAGGAACTTGGCGCTGCCTTGCAAAAGCAATGGCGCAGAATCCCCAACCACGTGTTCACAAGCATCAGGCAGTCGATGAGGAGACGGTGTTTGGCAGTGGTGAATGCGCGGGGCGGCCATACACGATATTGAACTGAGAAATTTCGCATTTTTATTCTTGTGACTTGACATTCTGTATACCCATGTTTTGGAACGGCGGTGTAGCCTAATGGAACTGATTATGGCACTGTCAGTGTATCGAGTACATCACACAGATCTCAGCAATGAAATAATAACAATTTAACCATCTTACCATCTCTTGTTCTTTTATAGTGCCATGAAGAAAGAATGTCAAGTTTCTTTTTTGACTCAGTATATTTTTTCACACATAGTTCAGACATGTTTCAGACGTGTCCCACCCGATCCCCGAGATCCGCCACTACCTGACACTGTTCAGTTTATGGGGCTACACAGCTGGCTCCTTGCCATATGTTACCATCCCGGATCCCGGATTGTTTGGGGTTGACACCATCAGTGGTAACGCGTGGTTTATTGCTCAGTTGTCAGGATAAATAATCATGCTAGAACGGTGAGTTTTCCGTCAGAGAATTAAGTAAATATACTGCCCATAAATGAATATTTTTAAAACGAGCACAGTAGGCTAAAAACGATGCGAATGTGAAATCGTCCCTTACTGTATTCCATACAAAAGAGAGACAAAATGAATGAAAATGCTGTAAAAAACAAAATGAATGTACTCCTTCAGACATACCTGTCATTGAAAAATATGAATGTCAATAAAAAGGGATCAAATGACAAACCACTTAGCCGGCTCTAGTCCTTCACATGAAGCCTGCTTACCGGGCATGGCGCTACCTACACAACCAAGCGGTGTGTTGTAAGTAATCATAATTAAAGTCCCTTTATTGACCGTATTCAATATAAAAAGCGGACATCTTTTAAAAAGCTGTTAAAAACAAAGAAATTCTTCAGACTGTCGATAAATGGGACAAACCCATAGTGTCTTGATAGCTAAAGTAACAAACCACTAAGACAGAAACGTTTAAGCTTGATCTAGTCCTTAACCTGAAGACATCTTACCAGGCATAGAGCTACCATACACAACCAAGCAGTGTGTTACCCGGATTGACGGACATACCTGGGGCAAGTAATATTGGGTTTTACGTCCCTTTGAACATCTCTTTTGTAAAACCATGGGGTGTAAGCTAAATGTAGGAAGAAAACCTGAATTCATGCAGGTCTTGGAAGTTTGTTACGACGGGGGACACCAGAAATGGGCTTCACATATTGTACCCACGTGGGGGATCGAACGCTTTAACCACGAGGCAAACACACACACACACACACACACACACACTCTCTCTCTCTCTCTCTCTCTCTCTCTCTCTCTCTCTCTCTCTCTCTCTCTCTCTCTCTCTCTCTCTCTCTCTCTCCACACTCTCTCTCTTCCCCCACACACACACACACACTTTGGTGTTGACACGATCAGAACATATGAGATTCGAACCCACGAGAATTGGTCACTAGGCCGTAACTTTGTGCTTTGCGTCTCACATGACTTTGGCTCCTGCGTCCCCGTACACTTCATATACTACCGTATCATTTTCTAATCCAAGAGTGATCAACATTCCAAAGCCCTGCCGTCTTCTTTACGCGTTGTCACAGTAAGTTCTTTGACATTAGAACTTCGTACCTAGAACGTGGGGACTGGAAAATTTCCAACGTATTACAACGCAGAATTTAACATGATTGGATTACTGAGCAGATCTTTGGGCAATACCCATGAACGTCAGCAAGGTTTCCAGGCTGAAGTGGATTAAATGTACTGTCCTAGTCCATCGCTATATATACACGACCGTGTCACATTGTCGTACTCAAAGCATGGTTTTACAAATGCTCAAAACCACAGAGGTAATATTTCGTAAAGCATGAGCGTTCCTAGCTTTCTCATAAATGTTTTTACGTGATAGATTGTCGACATATATCCATGAAAAAAAGAATTATACCATGAGACCTGGCGACTAATTTTTAATATGGCAATTGCACAAGGTTTGAACCAACATGACATAGTTAACTGTAAATGGTGCAGTCTATAGATGCCTTGAAAGGTCAACACGTTTCAGGATTCCCTCAACAGAAAGCCTGAAAACCGTGACCATGGACTCTGTCTCAAAGCGCCGTCTGGTCCGTAGTACTTAATGACCTTCACCTTGTGACCTTTCTGTACGTGGAACACGGCAGTTCCTGAACTAGTTGACCAAGCACTTTCGACACGGACTCGTGTGGAATAGGCACTGTCTTCGCTTTTAAGTTCGTATTCTAGTCCAGATCCATACGTCGCCATCACCTGGATGGTGAACAGGTAAAATCCTGGTGGAAAGAGATAGCCAAATGAAGAAAGGTAATAATATGTAATGTAAAATACACGTAATTAGTAGTTTTGTTTCTTTCTTGTTTAACGCTGCACTCTGCAATATTAGAATTATATCCTTAACCGTGACTGGACATGATAATCCAGTGATACAAATTATGAGCAGCGATCTACGCAGTTGGAATACGATGATACGCAAGCATCAAGTGAGCGAGCCTGCCCCCCGTTTGTCGCCTTTTACGACAAGCATGGGTTGTCTGGAGATCCATTATTCAGGTGTCAATACAGCAATAACCGAGTGAGTCAGATTTAATGATGCCTTCAACAATATTTCACTAATATCACGGCTTGTCAGAATGATTGAGGAGAGAAGCCTGAAGTGCTGGGTATGGTGTTAACAAAGCTGGAAACATAATCATGGTCTCTCCCACAACACAAGGCCTAGATTTTCGAAGCTCTCTTAGCGCTAAGATAGTCATAAGTTAATGTTAATGTATGGCACTTACGACTATCTTAGCGCTGAGAGAGCTTCGAAAATCTAGGCCCAGATCTGTTTTGGATGGGGGTCTTACCTGATACAGGGGCAGTAAATTCACCTGTTGTCGGGCTGTAAGCTTCTCCGATGTTCTCGTCAACTTGGTCAAACACTACTGTGCTTTTTAACTTTACACCTGTGTCCTTAGTCAGTGAAGTTACGAAATGCACTGTTCCTGTAGAAAAGAATTTAATTTATAATATTGCCGACATAAATACAAGAACTTGTGAAATGACACTGAAGGTGTAATGACCATACGCATCTGTAAAACCTTGTTAGGGCATGTAGATCAATATCAGGTGAGTCCAACATATTGGGCGACACTTGCACGACACTTTGATGCCATACTAATGCTTAACTTGCGAATGCTTGCCAATGGTATTGACACTGATCCACCTCAACAGCTAGCTACCCGAACCTGGTCAATGTTGGCGGGTGATTGGTCTGTGGTCCAATGTTGATTAGCATTTCAGAGGTTGGTGAAAAACATTAAAAGTAAAATACTTTATGGATGACAACTTTTTGATATATTATAATGTGACGTTTCGTTAAGGATAGTCTTTCACCGTTGTAAAGCTTGAGTGAAGTACTGCAGCACGGAAGATACTTGTAGACATAAACTAAGGATTAAAAAGAACAGAATGGTATGCATGACAGTGATTAACTACAACATAGGAGGAGATATTGGTAATGAATTTATTGGAGAAAGCCAACTGTACTTGAAGCGGTGCCCTGTTATTTTATCAATTCATTGTGGGATTAGGCATCCTCAGCTTCTGTTGATTGAGGGCTTGTGACGGTGAATTTTGAACTGTTTCTACCAATTGTCTTTTGATAAAGTCATGAAGGTTTTTATACGACCTGTACACTATCCGATTGAATGTTCGAATAGTTGATGATGTGATCTAAGATGGTTCTCTTACGACACGCATTGTTGAAGACCGGTTCTAACCCGGATCGTCACGGATGGATTAAATGTTCCGTTGAGATGTTCGCCGCTGTATTGCAAATGTACAAATCAGCTATGCCTCATTATGCCATTTTTGTATTATTTCAACAGATATCAATAAAGAATAACGTATCCAGTTCCAGTACAGGAAGTCTCTCCAACACTATTCGCTAATTGGTTGGCATTAAAGTGTCAATGACAATGTCAACGCAACGCGACAACATCATCAACTTCGGCCGTAGCCAGGTTTTCCGCGTATCGCCAAGGACTAAATGAGTGAGTGAGTTTGGTTCACTATTCCAGCAATGTCACGGCGGGGGACACCAGAAATGGGCTTCACACATTGTACCCATGTGGGGAATCGAACCCGGGTCTTCAGCGAGACGAGCGGACGCTTTAACCATTAGGCTACCCCATCACCCCGGACTATTAGAAGACTATGTAACCGTTATAAGCCGCAGAAATCAACACTGAACCTACCTTGTCGACCACGTAACACAATTGCAACGCAGGACAGGTTCAGCTTTTTTTAAACCCTAACCTAACCCTAACCTTTAACCCTAACCCTACCTTCCATGGCAATTTATCAGCACAACGTTACACATTTGAAATTCATCGGACACACGTTGTTCCCAGTATACAACCAGCATTTTTCTTTCACACCACAACGCCCAACCTCACACGACAAGACTGACAACGCCCTTTATTGAGGAACCACAACATCCAAGTACTGCCATGGCAGTCAAGGTGTCAAGATCTAAACCCCATCGAGTGTTTATAAATGGGATGATGTTGATCAACGCTTGCAATCACGTCTGCAAGAGTCACAGAACCTACAACTGCTGGCACAAGTACTGAAGGAGTGAGTGAGTGACTTGGGTTGTACGCCGCTTTTAGCAATATTCCAGCAACATCACGGCGGGAGGACACTAGAAATGGGATTCACACAGTACTGAAGGAAGAATGGATGAACATTGACAGGCAACAATACGTATTCTGATTGGAATCTCATGGCGTGTGTGCCCGCGTGCGTGCGTGCGTGCGTGTGCGTGTGTGTGCGTGTGCATATGTTTCCATAGACCTCAGATGATACATCTGATACATCATATGCTGTTGCCAGCTCAAGACAGCTATTCAGCGGCACTTACGGGAGGGCATGGGAAATACAGGTGAAAAATCAATATTAAGCTTGTGTAAGGCTCTTTCAATATTATGTCGGGAATGAAGACAGTGAACACATTCCAGTTCGAGTTTGGGACTGACGTAGAGCGTTCATGCAATCTTCTTTGGGATTCTGTTAAGACGAGTAGTAGTGGATTTCGATCAGAACGTCGTATTAAGATAAATTTACCTGCACGTTTTTTTGTGTGACAGAAAACACTGTCGATATATACTGCGGCATTACTTCATAAGAGATACCCGCGAAAGCCCGGGTTTGAATATTGATCTTCAGTAACCCATACTTGTCGTAAGAGGTGACTAACGAGAGCGGGTGGTTAGGCTCGCTGACTTGGTTGGCACATGTCATTGTATCCCAGTTGCGCATATCGATGCTGATGCTGTTGATCACTGGATTGTCTGGTCCAGACTCAATTATTTACAGACCACCGCCATATAGCTGGAACCCTAAGGATCGTAAAGGGTTGTTTGCCTCTAAAGACCTGTCGACTCGTCCAAGGTCGTAAAGGGATGTTTGCCCCAGAAGAGGGCACCGGATCATGAGCCAGGTTGCAATATAGCGAGACAGCGGAAGCGCTATAGCGCGGTATTTGCTCCCTATGCCAGGTGAACTTCGATCGAATCCAGAATTCCATTTTTCGACGGTCTAGAAGTAAATTATTGATGTCACACTTCAATGGTTTTAATATCATTAGCACATTTCGAATCTGTAATAGCTAAATACTGAATTTATGATGACAGTAAGTAATTATATTTTACATCAATCCTTCGAGTTGGTAAAATCTTAAAATAGATTGCTTTAATTTTGGTAATACAAATTCGATTTTGTGATATCAATAATGAAATATTTATACTATATAATCGGGAATACCCCAATAAACTAAAATAATATATACTAGCAGAGCTACGGGACGCTTTCTGAATCGAAGTACTCACCACTAAACTGGCAAGTTTCTGATTCACTGAGCATCGAACAGCCCTTCTCGATGTCTGTCAGTGTGCCAGAAGTGAGAGCTTTCCGGACAGTCTGTTTTCCCGCCTCCGGATCAGGTTTGACACCGCGACTGCCCCGGCTTCTGCGCATGTGTTTCACTTCCGCAATAAGGCTGGACTTGTCGGCTGGAGCAGTTCTGACAGACAGATCCACGGCATGTTTAGTCGATTTCCTGTTAATCAACCGCTGTGATTGAGCCCTTCTTCTTCCCACGCCTTTCCCTCGTGCAGGCATGTTCCAATGTGAATTAGTTTTCTTGTATTTTGGAGTATGTTCACGACGCTTTTTGCAATATTCCAGCAATATCACAGCAGGGGACACCAGAAATAGGCTTCACACATTGTTCCCATGTCGGGAATCGAACCTTGGTCTTCAGCGTAATGAGTTTAACCACAATGCTACCCCACCGCCCCCACTAGAAAATAACTCATCAATCTAACTTTATCTGTATCAAGCATAGGCATATAAATATCCTCAATTGCATTAATATAATGTACCTGTTATGAACGCGACGCTTTGGTGCCTCGAGGAATGAGGGACCCTTCATAATTGATGGCTAGGTTGTGTGATTATGATTTAAGGGTGGGTGGGTGGCTGGTCAACAATTTGGTAGACATACATAATGATTTTGTACATGACATGACATGAGTGAGTGAGTTTAGTGTTACACCGCTTTTAGCTATATTCCAGCTATATCACGGCGGGGGGACACCAGAAATGGGCTTCACACATTGTACCCATGTGGGGAATCGAACCCGGGTCTTCAGCGTGACGACCGAACGCTTTAACCACTAGGCTACCCTACCACGCCCATTTTTACATGACGGATTAGAAGACTATATGCTATATCAGTTACCCATCGACACAAGACAACACTGTAACAATTGGATGACAGAGGCAGATTACCTTCATGTAAATCAGACTAAGCATAATGACAAATTAGACAATTTGGTAATAAAAATAATATATCCTAATTATTTAGCTTAGTGGGTAGTAATGAAAAATGTAAACGGAAATATTTAATCTTGTGCCCAAAAGGTTATCTAATTGTGAGTGAAGTTTGACGCCTCTTTTAGCAATATTCCAGCATTAACACGTCGAGAGACACCAGAATTAAGTTTATCTAATACCAAATGCGCACAAATCCTGGAAAAATCACCCAAGTTCAAATTATGAAGAATGATCAACAACTCATGTTTATATTCTCTCAAATTATTTCTCATGTATCACTTGCTTGACAACGACATTAGAATCAATGTCGAAACGTCGCCATTAACAGAATAAAGATGTTGTATATCCATAAAATTATCATCATTTTTCGTTTGCAGGATGAATAAATAAATTTATTGTTTTCAGTTAGTGTATGTGTAAATGCCACTCATATCATCATCATATATTCATTTTGTAATTCACCACTCACGATCAGCAATGAAAGTAGCGTGACGGTTCTGTAGCTCGACTTCTTCTGTACTCAACAGTTTTAGAACTAAACGACCCCTGAAGATCCGGGTTATAATTGATCTTCAGTGCTTGTCGTAAGAGGCGACTAACGGGATCGAGTGACACGTCATCGCGGTGTAAAACCAAACTCACTCACTCACTCATTAAAACTAAACACAGCAACAGATCATAAGTTGCTGTCACCTTTGTTAAGATCTTTTTTGTATTAATTGTTACCACTGAAAAACTAATGAATTTTACAAGAATATAAAGACATACAGTTGAGAAACATTCACGTCTTGCTTAGTGCTTACAGAGGATTTTAGATTCACACGACCAAAGACGCATATTGTGATAGCATGATCATTCAAATTACATGGTCAACTACGGCCAAAATATACGATACTGACAATGAACGGACCTCACATGCTGAGCGTCATTCCTGGACACGTTTCACAGCAAATAATGACCATTACATTTAAAGGTTTTTCAATACGGTGACCATATTAAACATTGGATTAGAACCTCTTGAACTGTTTCCCGTATTATTGGTGTGAACAGTAAGTGCAGTGCTCATTTGAGCGCCTTCATCAAAACCAGGGGCAGAGTTGGAAAAAATATTCGCCTGCACATTCCCTGTAAATAATGCAAATCCTGCAATCGATCGTTTATGAACCTTGATAAGATGTTTAGAATATAGTGTCAAGACAGTCAAAGATACGCCCAAACTCCACAAACTGTTAGGACCAGTATGCTAGTGGTGCCAGTGAAGGTAATACCATTGTTGGAATCTGTTGTGATCGTTCTATGAGATGGAGTTGTTGGATTTTCTTCAGTTGCATCGGACGACTGTGACACTGCATCCGTTGAACCGGTCTCACTTGTCTTATTTGAGTCCATGGGATGATTGGCAAAAGTTTGTTTGACAACGTGGAGCAAAGGAAAGGCCCCGTTCTTGCAGTAGTTCTTCGCGTCGTCAAAGCTCAACTCCCAAAACATGACTCCCCCAAGATGTTCATCAATGACATACTGGACCTGGAATTGTAACATGAGTGATGCACAGGTCCTCGTGTCTTTGCGAAGATTAAATATTTAAAAAAAGGCCGGACACTTCGGTATACCCCACCTGCTTGCTTTGCCGATCGCTACGCTACCATCGTATGTTGGGGTCGAAGCAAACCCTCTGATTGGTCAACGCTTGCAAATCTGCAATTCTTTATACATTCGCGGGATTTTTTTCTTTCATCGACTGCTTAATGTAAGAATATTTTTCGAGCAATGGCTTCTCAAAAGAAAGCATCAGTTGTAAATGTCTCCTAAACAAGTATCAACCAACCAGAGGGCTAGCTGTGACCACACCCCTGTTTTGTGCGGACACATCATCATCCATTTGTGTCAAGATAGTTTAGTTGAGGGTCAAAATCGGGTTTCAATTGACTTGCAGAAATAACAATAAAGAATTTGTAGGTGTCATGAGTGGTGCTCGATATGCCAATCATCCATGATTATGTTTACATTAAGTTTTAATCGATTGCATGCGATGGTTATCTTTAATCCTCGCAAAGACACGATGGCCTGGTTCAGTCAACTACTCAGTCGTTTGGGTCCACAACTCTTTTACTTGTCCATGACACCCCACCTACAGTTCTTTAGTTCATGACCAACTTCACCTTCAGTAAACAACCATCTTTCCTTCAGTCCACAACCTATTCTACCTTCCGTCCACAACCTACTCTACCTTCAGTTCACAACCTACTTAACCTTACGTCCACAACCTACTCTACCTTACGTCCACAACCTATTCTACCTTCAGTTCACAACCTACTTTACTTACGTCCACAACCTACTCTACCTTATGCCCACTATCTACTCTACCTTCAGTTCACAACCTACTCTACGTTCCGCCCACGACCTACTTTACCTTCAGTTCACAGGCTCCTTTCATTCAGTCTCCAACCTACTCTACTCTCAGTCCACAACATCTTCTGTTCACTACCTACTCTACCTTCAGTAACAACCTCTTCTCCCTTCTGTCCACGACATACTCTTCCTTCAGTTCACAACCTACTCTACCCTTCAGTACACAACCTACTCTACCCTTTAGTAAACAACCAACTTTTCTTCAGTCCACAACCTATTCTACCTTCAGCCGACAACCTACTCTACCTTACGCCCACTATCTACTCTACCTTCAGTTCATAACTTACTCTACCTTACGCCCACTATCTACTCTACCTTCCGTCCACACCCAGCACTACCTTCCACCCACTATCTACTCTACCTTCAGTTCACAACCTACTCTACCTTCCGCCCACAACCTACTCTACCTTCAGCCCACGACCTACTTTACCTTTACGCCCACTATCTACTCTACCTTCCGTCCACAACCTACTCTACCTTACGCCCACTATCTACTCTACCTTCCGTCCACAACCTACTCTACCCTACGCCCACTATCTACTCTATCTTCAGTTCACAACCTACTTTACTTACGTCCACAACCTATTCTACCTTCCGACCACAACCTACTCTACCTTCAGTTCACAACCTACTTAACCTTACGTCCACAACCTACTCTATCTTACGTCCACAACCTACTCTACCTTACGTCCACAACCTATTCTACCTTCAGTTCACAACCTACTTAACCTTACGTCCACAACCTACTCTATCTTCAGTCCACAACCTACTCTGCCTTCAGTTCGTAACCATCTTTCCTCCAGTCCACAATCTTTGCTTCTACCTTCAGTCCAAAACCTCTTCAGTCCACAGCCTACTCTACCTTCAGTTCACAACCTACTCTACCTTCAGTTCACAACCTACTCTATCTTCAGTCGACAAGTTACTCTACCTACAGTTCACAACCATCTTTCCTCCAGTCCACAACCTCTTTCTTCTATTTAACCTACTCTGTCTTCAGTCTATAACCTACTCTACTTTTAGAAAACAACCAACGTTTCTTCAGTCCACAACCTATTCTACCTTTCGTCCACAACCAGCTGTACCTTCCGCCCACAACCTATTCTACCTTCCGTCCACAACCAGCTCTACCTTCCGCCCACAACCTACTCTACCTTCAGTCCACAACTCACTCTATCTTCAGTCCTCAACTTACTCTACCTTCAATACACAACCTACTCTACCTTCAGTTCACAGGCACCTTTCCTTCAGTCTCCAACCTACTCTACTTTCAGTCCACATCCTACTCTACCTTACGTCCACAACCTACTCTACCCTCCGTCCACAACCTACTCTACGTTCCGCCCACGACCTACTCTACCTTCAGTTCACAGGCTCCTTTCATTCAGTCTCCAACCAACTCTACTCTCAGTCCACAACATATTCTGTTCACTACCTACTCTACCTTCAGTTTCAACCTCTTCTCCCTTCTGTCCACGACCTACTCTACCTGACGTCCACGACCTATTCTACCTTACGTCCACAACTTCTACCTTCAGTCCACAACCTACTCTACCTTACGTCCACAACCTACTCTATCTTCAGTCCTCAACTTACTCTACCTTCAATACACAACTTACTATATCTTCAGTTCACAACCTACTGTTCAGTCCACAACCTACTCTATCTTCAGTACACAAGTTAATATTTACTGTAAAATTATTAAATATTGGATAAGACTGGTATCTCAAGCTGATAATGTTATTTTAAAGAAAGTGTATGAATATCAATATCGAACTGCAGAGAAAGGACGCCCATGTTGGGCACTAAGTGTAAAAAGACTTCTAAATCAATATGGTTTTGGATATGCCTGGTTTTACCAGAATGTTGGGAATGTCACTACTTTCATATCTCTGTTCAAACAAAGATGTATTGACGTTCATAACCAATCATGGAAAGGTGATATGCTGTGTTTTTCTAAACTTGATTTTCTGAGTAATATCAAAAACAAAGTTTGCTTAGAGTTCTACATTAATCACGTTCAATGCAAAGTATTTCGTATTGCCTTAAGTAGAATTAGAAGCTCCAGTCATATGTTAATGATTGAATATGGTAGACGCCTTGGTCTAAAGCGAAATGAACGCTTGTGTCCATTGTGTATTATTCCTACTGTAGAAAGCGAATTTCATTTTTGCCTAGAATGTCCATTTTATAATAATCTTAGAGAAATGACAATTCCAAATTATTATTACAATTTCCCGTCACAACAGAAACTGTCTCAGTTGTTCATGACGAAGAATATACTTCTTATTAATAATCTTGGAAAATTTGTGTATCTAGCTTTAAAGAAGCGTAATGCATTCTTGAGTGTATAGTACCCCTACAGCCTCTTGTATCTGCTGATTAGCACTTGTGCTAATATTGAATATTTTATGGCGCTTGTTAGACCTTGCACTTTGTACATTTGTATAATGGGCCTGTGGCCCCTTTACTTGAATAAACCTCTCTCTCTCTCTCTCTTTCAGTACACAACCCACTGTTCAGTCCACAACTTACAATATCTTCAGTTCACAACCTACTGTTCAGTACACAACCCACTCTACCTTCAGTCTTCAACTTACTCTACCTTCAATACACAACATACTATATCTTCAGTCCACAACTCACTCTATCTTCAGTCCTCAACTTACTCTACCTTCAATACACAACTTACTATATCTTCAGCCCACAACCTACTTAACCAACCTCCTCTAAATTCAGTTCACAACCACTTCGGTCCACAGCCCTCTTTATCGTCAGCCTACAACCTTCTTCATCCCCAGTCAACAAACCTCTTTACCGTCGGCCTACAACCTTCTTCATCCCCAGTCAACAAACCTCTTTACCGTCGGCCAACAACTTTCTTCACCCCCAGTCAACAAAACCTTTTACTGTCAGCCTACAACCTTCTTCACCCCCAGTAAACAACCCTGTTTACCGTCAGCCTACAGCTTTCTTCACCCTCAGTAAACAAACCTTATAACCGTCAGCCTACAACCTTCTTCACCCCCAGTAAACAACCCTGTTTACCGTCAGCCTTCAACTTTCTTCACCCTCAGTAAACAAACCTTATTACCGTCAGCCTACAACCTTCTTCACCCCCAGTAAACAACCCTGTTTACCGTCAGCCTACAGCTTTCTTCACCCCAGTCAACAAACCTTATTACCGTCAGCCTACAACCTTCTTCACTCCCAGTAAACAACCCTCTTTACCGTCAGCCTACAGCCTTCTTCACCCCCAGTCAACAAACCTTATTATTGTCGGCCTACAAGCTTCTTCACCCCCAGTAAACAAACCTCTTTACCGTTGGCCTACAACCTTCTTCATCCCCAGTCAACAAACCTCTTTACCGTTGGCCTTCAACCTTCTTCACCCCCAGTCAACAAACCTTTTCACCGTCAGCCTTCAACCTTCTTCACCTCAGTAAACAAACCTCTTTACCGTCAGCCTTCAACCTTCTTCACCTCAGTAAACAAACCTTTTTAGCGTCAGCGTACAAGCTTCTTCACCCCCAGTCAACAAACCTTATTACCGTCAGCCTACAACCTTTTTCACCCTCAGTAAACAAACCTCTTTACCGTCAGCCTTCAACCTTCTTCACCCCCAGTCAACAAACCTCTTGACCGTCGGCCTACAACCTTCTTCACCTCAGTAAACAAACCTTTTTAGCGTCAGCCTACAACCTTTTTCACCCTCAGTAAACAAACCTCTTTACCGTCGGCTTACAACCTTCTTCACCCCCGGTCAACAAACCTCTTTACCGTCGGCCTACAACCTTCTTCACCCCCAGTCAACAACCCTTTTTACCGTCAGCCTTCAACCTTCTTCACCCTCAGTAAACAAACCTCTTTACCGTCGGCCTACAACCTTCTTCGCCCCCAGTAAACAAACCTTTTTACCGTCAGCCTACAACCTCTTTACCGTCAGTCCACAGTGATTCTCAGTGGATGGTTCTTAGCAAGGAACGATTTCTAAGACATTGAACCAGCATCTACCTACGTAGGGATAAACTTTGCATGTAGGGTTTGACTGACTTATGTCCTCTTTAAACTACCTGTAGTCAAATACGTACCGGGTTCATCTCTACATCAGATGAGTTTGGATAGCAATTTAAAACATGCAAGAAAAAAGAACGTATAGTAACTATGATAGTACGTTACCTTGAGGCCAAAGCTCTGCTGGTCATCGTACCCTACCCACTGATCGCCTCTGTAGGCGTAGGGCACCTGCTGTTCCTCGTCCCAAACTCGAGTCCAACCCTTCTTCAAGGATTGGCAGATCTTAAACAAATATAAATGACACCACTTAATATCACTCAGTATACGAACTTGAAACAAAGGTACAAAACATCCGTTTCGATATTTTAGTTTTGATATTTTAAATGGGAACGTCTATACTCATTATTCGAAAGCATCACATCCCTGAAATCGCATGAATGGTAGCAGAAACAGACGAGGCATTTGTGAAGAATTAGAATGGAACTTTTTGGTGTGATTCATCGTGAGCACAACTGATACTTCTGTTGTAAATGTATGAACTTTTTTGTTTTCTTTGTTTGTTGTTTAACGTTACCCACATATTTTTTCCAACTATATTACGGCGGTCATTAAATATTCGAATCTGGTCCAGTTAATCCAGTGACTGACATTATGAGTATCGACTTATGCAAGTGTCAACCAAGTTTTTATCTACTATTACCACTATTACCAATTCAGATGGATATATTTACCTCTGGATACATAAGTCTGCCTTTTTGTTGATAGAGAGGACCGGGTGGGCCTCCTCCATCCTGGACAGGTGCGCCGACGTTGTGATCAGTGATGTTCCTGAGAGTGAAACTTGCTCCTGCACCCGTCAGCCCCATGATCACCTTGCTCCGGTCCGCACCCCCATTGATCCACACGTTCAGGGCGTATTGCTGTAGTTATTCAATTTAACGTTTATGCTGTATACTCAAAGGCAAAAAAGAAAGGCCAATGCTGATCGAGGTGACTTTGAAAATCACCGGATGGAAATCATTAATTTTAATCTTACAACGATTATAGCTATATGTGATTATGACAAACGGACCAAAACTCAAAGGTTATCAATGTTTATCGCTAGCAAAACGGATATTCTTTCAAAAGCGCCATTTATAAGTGTTGCCTTTATTGTAATAGGACACGAGCAGCTATCTCCTACTCTATGTAGACGATGTTGATTATTAATCGAGATATTTCTTTATTCTTTCTCAGGTGACGACATATAGCGACTAGGACGTATTGACATTTCGAGGTAAGCTTCATATGACGATGTACTGACCACATTATAAACCGGAGAGAAGTTACTGTCGTTCCTAGCTCGGAGCGGGCTGTCAAACCCGGTGACTTTGTTCCAACTTCCGGAAAAGTCGTACGTCATTACAAAGATGTAGTCCAGGTACCTGAAATTCCACAGTCGTTTATTGAGTGTAATGCATTATTAAACATTATATTTACAGTTATATTAACCTCTTAAGATAACATTGTTTATAGTGTACTATAGTGCAAGGTTCATAATTATTGCGCTTCGAAAGTGTATTGATCGTCCTCGCTATTAGAAATTCCGTTGTCACCGTGCGAATCTTTACTGGGATGAGCAGGGTTTGCTCCACAGAACTATTTGGACGTAAGGCATTACGTATACCAGCTAACAAACAACGTTTTCTCAACGTTATGGGAAGGTTGTAGATTGGTAACGTCATGACACAACGTTGTGGGGAGGTTGTAGATTGGTAACGTCATGACACAACGTTATCGGAAGGTTGTAGACTGGTAACGTCATGACACAACGTTGTGGGAAGGATGTAGATTGGTGACGTCATGACACAACGTTGTGGGAAGGTTGTAGATTGGTGACGCCATGACACAACGTTGTCGGAAGGTTGTAGACTGGTGACGTCATCACACAACGTTGCGGGAAGGTTGTAGACTGGTAACGTCATCACACAACGTTGCGGGAAGGTTGTAGACTGGTAACGTCATGACACAACGTTGCGGGAAGGTTGTAGACTGGTAACGTCATGACACAACGTTGCGGGAAGGTTGTAGACTGGTAACGTCATGACACAACGTTGTGGCGAGGATGTAGACTGGTGACGTCATGACACAACGTTGCGGGAAGGTTGTAGACTTGTGACGTCATGACACAACGTTGCGGGAAGGTTGTAGACTGGTGACGTCATGACACAACGTTGTGGCGAGGATGTAGACTGGTGACGTCATGACACAACGTTGCGGGAAGGTTGTAGACTGGTAACGTCATGACACAACGTTGTGGGGAGGTTGCAGATTCGTAACGTCATGACACAACGTTGTGGCGAGGATGTAGACTGGTGACTACATGACACAACTTTGCGGGAAGGTTGTAGACTGGTAACGTCATGACACAACGTTGTGGGGAGGTTGTAGACTGGTAACGTCATGACAACGTTGTGGGCAGGTAGTAGACTGATAACGTCATGACACTACGTTGTGGGGAGGTTGTAGATTGGTAACGTCAGGACACAACGCTGTGGGAGGTTGTAGACTGGTAACGTGATGACACAACGTTGTGGGGAGGTTGTAGATTTGTAACGTCATCACACAACGTTGTGGGGAGGTTGTAGACTGGGTTGACGTCATGACACAACGTTGTGGGGAGGTTGTAGACTGGTAACGTCATGACACAACGTTGTGGGCAGGTAGTAGACTGATAACGTCATGACACTTCGTTGTGGGGAGGTTGTAGACTGGTAACGTCATGACACAACGTTGTGGGGAGGTTGTAGACTGGTAACGTCATGACACAACGTTGTGGCGAGGTTGTAGACTGGTTACGTCATGACACAACGTTGTGGGTAGGTAGTAGACTGATAACGTCATGACACTACGTTGTGGGGAGGTTGTAGATTGGTAACGTCATGACACAACGTTGTGGGATGGTTGTAGATTGGTAACGTCATGACACAACGATGTGGGATGGTTGTAGATTGGTAACGTTATGGCACAACATTGTCACAATGTTAGTATTACATCATTTTATAACCTTATGTCACAACATAAAAACAACGTTGCAAATTTACGTTGAAGAAACATTATGCTTTGGGCTCCTCACAAGGTTACAACAGCATTTCATATAACTTAGTGTCACGATAGAGTTTTCTGTAAAACGTTTCACTTTGAGATTCGATTTCACTATTCAGCTACAGCTTCAGAAAACACACTACCAAAACAACATGCAAATTGACGAATAGACATTAAAATGAATTTCTGCTTTGTTTGATATGTACTGTTCACAACTGAAAAACGATTCAACTGTAAACGTTAAATAGAAGGTTAACACAGCGTAAAATACGTTAGCATCAAATAACTTTAACCTTGTGGCGACGTAGAAATGACGTTGTCACAACGTCAGGCCACAACGTTGTGACAAGGTAAATGGGAGTCCACAGAACAACGTTGTAACAACGAAAGCATAACGGTGTGACAACGTGAAATTGTCAGCTGGTACACTTCAGCGTTTCTTCATTTACATGAGGTGTATTTCGAGCCTCCCTTTACACTAAACTGTACATTGCACATCCAAACGCAGCATTTCATTGTTGTGTGACACTCACTTGCTGATAGCCTTGATGTCATAGCCGGCTCGTATTTTGTCCTCCCCACCAGCCCCTGCTATGGTCAACAGCAGTGGCTCCTTATTGGTAGCCTCATTGGAAAACTCTTCACTCAAAATCTAAAATAAATAAACAAAAAACATCATTGATTAATGGTAACAAACGTGTAACCTATTTCCTCCGCAGTCGATGTTGTCTAACCCCCTTCTATCTTTAACACTATAGCCTCCAGTCAGGACCTCTACTAACCCCTCAGGTCAAAACATTGATTACACAACAGTCTCGTTTCCTGCTGACCTGGTTCCGTCCTACTGCGCACATTAGTACAATAACCAGTCCACAATTTTGAGACCAATTCATTCAACTGGATACATTAATATTAATCAGTATTATTTAATACATCTAAGCACGTGCATATTGCAACACTACGCTCCTTCTAATTCTTGCTTACACGTCTTACAGCGTGCTCTGTCGCACAGCGTGCTCTCACAAACAGAAATCTGGAAATCGTGGAAATCTCAAAACGAGGCTCTGCCGCTAGAAACGTTTGGCGGTCTGGTACGGACTTGATATACTATCAATCATATTGTGCGTTACAAAACTACATTGAATAAGCGCAAAAAACACATAACAGCCAGATGAATTGTGAATAATTTTACGACCTCATCAAACAGGGGCAGTCTGTGACGTCTTAGTTAAGATTATGCTGCCTACACCTCGCCATAAAATATAAAAGTACGATGTTATTAAAGTTTAAAATTAAAATTAACTTGTAAATACGATTTTCTTATGTAACGAGGAATTGGAATTCAGTGTAACCATAGTTGTTTGTGGTGTCTCTGTTCACTTTAACACGAGAAAATTCGGATCGGCTGAAAAGTAGGTCATTGTCTGAATAGGTTAATGAGACACATGTTTTGGTTTGACCTGTGTCACAGCGATCTCTAGTTGGGACCTCTACGTGTCATCTAACCCCTCACCTGTGTCACGGTGACCTCTTGTTAGGAGTTCTGCATGTGATCTAACCCATAGCTGTGTAACGGTGACCACTAGTTGGGACCTTTGCATGTGATCTAACCCACAGTTGTGTCACGGTGACCTCTTGTTAGGAGCTCTACATGTGATCTAACCCACAGCTGTGTCACGGTGACCTCTAGTCAGGACCTCTACATGTGATCTAACCCCACACCTCTACATGTCATCTAACCCCACACCTCTACATGTCATCTAACTCCACACCTGTATATGTCATCTAACACTTCACCTGTGTCACGGTGACCTGTAGTTAGGAGCTCTACATGTGATCTAACCCCACACCTCTACATGTGAACTAACCCCACACCTGTATATGTGATCTAACCCCTCACCTGTGTCACGATGACCTGTAGTTAGGACCTCTACATGTGATCTAACCCCACACCTCTACATGTGATCTTACCCCACACCTCTACATGTCATCTAACTCCACACCTGTATATGTGATCTAACCCCTCACCTGTGTCACGATGACCTGTAGTTAGGAGCTCTACATGTGATCTAACCCCACACCTCTACATGTGATCTAACCCCACACCTCTACATGTCATCTAACTCCACACCTGTATATGTGATCTAACCCCTCACCTGTGTCACGATGACCTGTAGTTAGGACCTCTACATGTGATCTAACCCCACACCTCTACATGTCATCTAACCCCACACCTCTACATGTCATCTAACTCCACACCTGTATATGTCATCTAACACTTCACCTGTGTCACGGTGACCTGTAGTTAGGAGCTCTACATGTGATCTAACCCCACACCTGTATATGTGATCTAACCCCACACCTCTACATGTCATCTAACTCCACACCTGTATATGTGATCTAACCCCTCACCTGTGTCACGTTGACCTGTAGTTAGGAGCTCTACATGTGATCTAACCCCACACCTCTACATGTGATCTAACCCCACACCTCTACATGTCATCTAACTCCACACCTGTATATGTGATCTAACCCCTCACCTGTGTCACGATGACCTGTAGTTAGGACCTCTACATGTGATCTAACCCCATACCTCTACATGTGATCTAACCCCACACCTCTACATGTCATCTAACCCCACACCTCTACATGTCATCTAACTCCACACCTGTATATGTCATCTAACACTTCACCTGTGTCACGGTGACCTGTAGTTAGGAGCTCTACATGTGATCTAACCCCAGACCTCTACATGTGATCTAACCCCACACCTGTATATGTGATCTAACCCCTCACCTGTGTCACGATGACCTGTAGTTAGGACCTCTACATGTGATCTAACCCCAGACCTCTACATGTGATCTAACCCCATAACTGTGTCACGGTGACCTCAAGTTAAGTGTTTTATATGCGATCTAACCCTACACCCCACCTGTATTCCGGTATAGTGAATGAGTTTGATTTTACGCCGCTTTTAGCAACATGACATGAGGAGCGAACGCTTTAACCACTAGGATACCCCACCGCTCCTATTTAGCAGCCTACAAGCCAGTGGGGACTTACATACAGTCCGAGACCTGACTTGGATGTTTAACAATGCGCGGACGGATAAGGTAAGTGTGTACATGAACGTGAATATACACGTTCTCTTGCCGCCCACTTCTCTAATCAAGCTTGATATCAAACGCCGGTGTGTAATATCGAGCCAAGATAACAAACTATGGCGCGACCAACGCCCTCGATGACACATACAACAGTAATATCGCTATCAGAATTACGTTCATTGTAGGCGTGATAAAGTAAACGACATATACCATGAGTGAGTCAGTCGGGTTCAACACCATACTGAACATTTGTCATTGCATATCACAGCTTGTTAACTGAATGTATAATGCAAAGCTTGAAGTGCCATCACTGGCTAGTCTGATCTAGACTCGATTATTGACTGACACGGACGTATGGTTGCAGAGTGCTGCAACAAACAATCAATAGGCCTACTGCAGAATTTTGGTGACCAGGGCCCTTATTTTCGAAACGTTCGTAGCCCTAAGAATTCTTAACTTTGATCGTAGCCAATGTGTTAAGAATCGGCTTAAGAAGTTCGTAGGGCTTAAGAAGTTTCGAGAATAGCTAGCAAGGTCTAATTTTTGTTTATTGTTTCTTGTTTAACGCCGAACTCAAGGTCCAGATTTATGATGGCGGTCTATCAATAACCAAATCAGGACCTGATAATCCAGTGATTAAGCGTCATGAGTATTGATCTACGCAGTTTGGATACGATGACATGCAACCACCAAGTCAGCGGAAATATTTCCAGCTGTATGACGGCGATCTGTAAATAACAGAGTCTACACCAGGGCCCCGTTCACCAAAGCGATCGTAGCGCTACGACTGTCGTAAGTCTATGTTAAAGTATGGGAGTTACGATCACCTTAGCGCTACGATCGCTTTGAGGAACGGGACCCAGAATATCAAGTGGTCGATATCATGAGACTCGACCTACGCAATTGGATACGATGACATGCATCAACCAATCAGCGAGCTTGAACACCCGATCTCGCTTGTCGCCTTTTACGACAAGCATGGATTGTTCAAAGCCAGATCTTCACATGTTGACCACCTTGTCATCAGATGTAAATTTACTTACATCTACGAAGAGCTACTTTTCATTAACGGACACCTATGTTTACCTTGAGAAGAAATGTAAACTTGTCTTTGGTTTCAGCAGCGGGGTACTCCCAGTCGATATCCAGTCCATCAAAACCATGCTTTCTTAAGAATTTCATAGTATTTTGAGCAAACTGTTGCAAGGATAATTTCGAGGACGACAGCTGGGAAAAAGCTCTACCTGAGCTTTGACCTCCCACTGACAAAAGCGTCTTTAGGTTTGGATTCTTTGACTTGAGTTGGTTAAACTGCTCATAGAGTCCCGTCATACCGGCACGACTATATTCATGAAATGGGTCTAGGGCAACTACAGACATGGATTGTATGTCTAAGCTTGCAAACGCGTACATCAGATGTGTACACAGAGAAGCATCAACGTCCTCTACCGGTAGACGAACTTGGGTGGGACTGGTTAGAGCAGACCAGCTGGTGAAATAACAGGCGGTGATGTATCCAGCAACTGGGAATGAGAATATAACGGTAAAGATATCGTTGCATGATATATCGACTTTCTGTTTATTCAGTTGATGCATATTTCAATCGTAAATTATATACACATGTAAATAAACTTATTTCTTGCGTCAGTGAGTGAGTAAGTATGTTCACGACGCTTTTTGCAATATTCCAGCAATATCACAGCAGGGGACACCAGAAATAGGCTTCACACATTGTTCCCATGTCGGGAATCGAACCTTGGTCTTCAGCGTAATGAGTCAAACTAGCATGATTGTTTCACGTACAGAGATCAATGAATGGACGGCTGTCACCGAACAACTGGACAATTAATCGTATCGTACCGTTGCTTTTCTCTTGCATTGATAGTACCATCAAGACTGTCAACAGGAAAATTCTGGCCATGGCGTCTCTGAAAAAGTAATGAATTTCAAATTTATTATCTTATCAATGTGTAAATTTGACATTACATGTTAATATTATCTAAGAGGAAATATTTGTATGATAGCAACGTGAAATTTGAAGAAGCGACTGAGGTCAGTTTGAAGTTCTTTCATTAGTTATAAATCATGTACCAAAGTGGCACCGCTGTTATCATTATTCCGTTGGTCATGTTCACTCGTTGTAGCTATGAGTATTGTAGCTATGTCAGTAATGTCTCCAGCGGCCCTTGTTCTCATACAAACAAATTTGTTTTCTCGGTGTTTTTGTGCGTAAAAGTCGGGGTGAGGTGAGGTTAAATTGGGTAAACGTTTAAATTGGGAGAATATTTCGCTCATATGACGACGTGCATGCGTGTGTATGTGCAGGTGCGGCTGCTTGTACTAGCCCAGACTGAAGCTGGTTTTATAGTGCTAGCCCACTGAGATACCATGACGCAGTAAAGCATGAATACCCCACTCAGACACATTATACTGACTCCGAGCCGACCAGTCCTTGTTGTACCCATTAAAGCCGATTGCCAGGCAGGGACCAACAGGTACCATATTTTAACGTCTTTTGGTATGACGCGGCCGGGGATCGAACCCGCGACCTTCCGCTCTCCGGGCGGACGCTCTAACCACTAGGCTACACCACGGAGGCGGTCCCTAAAAGTCGGATACCGATCTTCGACGTATATAATTCCTTGAAACGTACGAGCACGGATGTGATGCCAACAACACTAGAAATTTAAAAGAGAGCGAATCTAGGATTCGAACCGACGATCATTGGATCCTAGTTCATCTAAGGGACGCAACTACAAATTTATGCCACAGACGTATAAAGGAAACAGTATTCCTCGAAACCTACGAGCACAGTTGTGATGCCAACAACACTAGAAATGTAATCAGAGGGAATCTAGGATTCGAACCCATGATCATAGGGCCCTGACACACCTACGGGACACAACTCTGCATTAATGCCACAGACTTATAAAGGAAACAGTATCCAGATTTCATTCGGCTGGTGTGGGCAGTGGAGCCCACAGAATCAACAACCTTAACCAGTGAACACTGTTTTCTAGCAGTAAATGCAATTATGGTAACATTGAAAACTAGTATTAAGTTCAAACATAGTGTGGATCGGACGAGAATGTATGCGGGTGATAAAAACGTTTCAGTACTTGCCCAAACTGTATGATGCACAGAAAAGCCTGTAATCAAACAGAAATACATACATCGCCCGAACCCCCAAAGATAAAATACGATTCTAACATGTAAAAAACAACGGGCACCATGTTTCCAACAAAGAATTCGTCTAATCTGACCTTGCCCGGCGAAATGTTAGTGAGTGAGTGAGTGAGTTTGGTTTTACGCCGCTTTTAGCAATATTCCAGCAATATCACGGCGGGGACACCAGAAATGGACTTAACACATTGTATCCATGTGGGGAATCGAACCCGGGTCTTCGGCGTGACGAGCGAACGCCTTAACCACTAGGCTACCCCACCGCCCCGGCGAAATGTCAAGCTGACGGTACTGTTGCTTGCAATGATAGTACGTAGTTACCAGTCAGGAACAGTCCGCCAGGTGATTTACTGTAACGGATCTTCAACACTGTCAACGACTATGGGAGTGAGGACAGAGGTCTCTGTGGGAGGAGCCATTCAGTGTAAATAGGTCGCATGTTGAAGATAGGGATATTTCGCCCCGTTATTATCCTAAATGGAACTCACTGACCAGAATTTATACGTACTTACCAGCAGCAGATTCAGGGAGTAATAAGTATCGATCGGAAATAACGTGACGTAGGATGACGTACCATGCAACAGGAAGTTCTTTTCAGTTCAAACACGAACATGACACACGAACCGCTGATTGCAACATGACGAATGCACAAAACAGGTCAGCGTGGATGATTACAAAGTCGATAGGCTTCATATCAAAGTGGAACGGGAACTTTGACAAATGATATCGAGTGTTTAGTTTTTTCAAAAACGTATAATGAAATTTAATTATACATTTTAAAAGTTCAGACCTGGACCGATGAATACTTGACGGGTTTGTTTCCTACTGAATTCAGAAATGATGTCAATATCCTAGATATATTATGTCAATTGACTGGTTAACGATCTCATTAGGTCACGCTGACCCAAACTCACCCTCGTAACACACTTTGTCAAATCATACAAGTATTACAAGCTGGAGGCCAGGGCCCCGTTTCAACAAGCTATCGTACGCTACGACTGTCGTACCTCCGATAGTGTAACACAGGCTTACGACAGCCGTAGCGCTGCGATAGCTTTATGAAACGGGGCCCAGATTAGAATTAAGACTATTGACGGAAGAAGTTCATTTATTCGGAGAAACACTAATATGTATTCACATTTATTTAGTATTCGATACCCGGAAATATCATTTGAAACTGACTGGTGTCAGATATAAACATTGGGTAAGAAAAAGCATTTATACCTAGCGAAATGTCTGTAAGAATTCGATGTTCATGCTGTTGATCCCTGGATTGGATTATTTACAGACCGCCGCCATATAGCTGGAATATTGCTGAGTGCGGCGTAAAACTAAACTCACTAACTGACTCACTGCTGGATCCAATTCCATTTCAACAACGGGTTTTCCGCAGTTGTATGTCATAGTATACGATGTCAAAGTTAATTCTTATACTTCTCTTTGATTGTGTCTCCGCTCTGATACATATAAGTTAACTCAAGCTTGTAATATGAAGTGTTTTCATGCAGTGCGTCTCAACCCGAGGATGAAGTGGCGAATGTTAATCGAAAGATCCATTAAAACCCAATGGGGCGGTGTCATAGATTAGTGGTTAAAGCGTCCGCGCGTCACGCCGAAAACCCAGCTTCGATAGGGCATGTAGGTCTAGCGAGGCGCTACTTCCGGTACTAAGCTGGTTCCCGGCTCCCTTTGCGCGCGCCAACTTGCGGTATGCGAGACGGGACCCAGCTTATTTCCGGTACCAGATTTCCGGTGTTAAGAGTACATTAAAAAAACAGGTCTGGTTCCAAACTGCGCGACCTCCAAATATGACTTTACTAGACCTGACCTTGTGTACAACCATACTTGGCTGTCAGAGCTGTTCACAGTCGTAATACTTGACTAATTTGGGGATGGTTAGATCGGAAATTTGTTATGCCTGCAAGGATTATCGGTTCCTTATTGTCAACTGACAACCATGAGACCATTCGAAACGGTATGAGACGTTGTTTTGTCACCGGAAGTACTAAGGTCTCGCGAAGTGCCGTGACATATTTACGGACCCAATTCCCCACTTGGGTACAATGTGTGAAGCCCATTTCTGGTGTTATTCGTAAGAGTGGAATAAAAACCATATTCATTCATATCATTTACCCGAATATTGGTTGTAGCTGTAATTCAGAAATATTAAAGTCATACGATCTGTGATTAAAGTGTTGACATCATCAGCTAGATCCACGCTGTAATACACACTGCAATTAGAAATAGCCATGTCACATATTCTTGAACAATATTTGCATTTAAAGTCAGAATTCATCGTTCCATCGAGAGGAGGTGGGGAAGCTTAGTCGGTAAAGCGTTCGCTCGTCAAGTCGAAGACCCGGGTTCGATTCCTCACATGAGTACAATGTTTGATTCCTCACATGAGTACAATGTTTGAAGACCATTTTTGTATATGTGAGTGTGATAATGCTTGAATATGAAACCAACCAACCTCCTGCGACATGAATACCACTGTACAATGAACTCCCCGAGCGGAAGTAAAATGATTAAAGTTGGGAGAGCATACTCCGGCATGTTCATAAATACCTTCAGTTCTTTTCAATTCTCGCTGGCTTGGTTGACACATGTCATCGGTTCCCAATTGCGTAAATCGATGCTCATCATGTTGATCACTGGATTGTCTGGTCCAGACTCGATTATTTACAGACCGCCGTCATATAGCTGACTATTGCTGAGTGCGGCGTAAAACTAAACTCATTCATTCACTCACTCTTTCACAATCGAATATTACTGTATATAATATAATATAATAATATAATATAATATAATATAATATAATATAATATAATATAATATAATATAATATAATATAATATAATATAATATAATATAATATAATATAATATAATATAAGTACTAATAGTAAGAACCTTTTCTGTACTGTTGTTTATCACACAAATGTAATCTTCATTTTATGGAGGAAATAAAGAATATCTACTCGCATCTATCTATCATACCATCTTTAATCGTCTGTCATCTAATCATCGGACTTTCGCCCTACCAGCTATACATGCTAGTGGTAGTCTGTTGTAGAGGTTGGGTTTTTTGTCAGTACCTATAGATGGTGTGACTAAGATTTGCAGGTGTCGGCGATTTTTTACTTTTATCTCACAGGGAGCTGCTCGGTCTCACAAGGGGCTGGGTATGGGCTGCTAGATCTGACAAGGGGCTGAGTATGGACTGCTAGATCTGACAAGGGGCTGAGTATGGGCTGCTAGATCTGACAAGGGGTTGAGTACGGGCTGCTAGATCTGACAAGGGACTGAGTATGGGCTGATACATCTGACAAGGGAAGGTGTCTTGGCTGATACATCTGACAAGGGACTGAGTATGGGCTGATACATCTGACAAGGGAAGGTGTATGGGCTGATACATCTGACAAGGGACTGAGTATGGGCTGATACATCTGACAACGGGTTGAGTACGGGCTGCTAGATCTGACAAGGGACTGAGTATGGGCTGATACATCTGACAAGGGGCTAAGTATGGGCTGCTAGATCTGACAAGGTGTTGAGTACGGGCTGCTAGATCTGACAAGGGGCTGAGTATGGGCCGCTAGATCTCACAAGGGACTGAGTATGGGCTGCTAGATCTGACAAGGGGCTAAGTATGGGCTGCTAGATCTGACAAGGGGCTGAGTATGGGCCGCTAGATCTGACAAGGGGCTGAGTATGGGCTGCTAGATCTGACAAGGGGCTGAGTATGGGCCGCTAGATCTGACAAGGGACTGAGTATGGGCTGCTAGATCTGACAAGGGGCTAAGTATGGGCTGCTAGATCTGACAAGGGGCTGAGTATGTGCCGCTAGATCTGACAAGGGGCTAAGTATGGGCTGCTAGATCTGACAAGGGGCTAAGTATGGGCTGCTAGATCTGACAAGGGGCTGAGTATGGGCCGCTAGATCTGACAAGGGACTGAGTATGGGCTGCTAGATCTGACAAGGGATTGAGTATGGGCTGATACATCTGACAAGGGAAGGTGTATGGGCTGACACATCTGACATGGGACTGAGTATGGGCTGCTAGATCTGACAAGGGAAGGTGTATGGGCTGACACATCTGACATGGGATTGAGTATGGGCTGATACATCTGACAAGGGAAGGTGTATGGGCTGACACATCTGACATGGGACTGAGTATGGGCTGCTAGATCTGACAAGGGAAGGTGTACGGGCTGATACATCTGACAAGGGCTGAGTATATGCTGCTAGATCTGACAAGGGGTTGAGTATGGGCCGCTAGATCTGACAAGGGACTGAGTATGGGCCGCTAGATCTGACAAGGGACTGAGTATGGGCTGATAGATCTGACAAGGGATTGAGTATGGTCTGATACATCTGACAAGGGAAGGTGTATGGGCTGACACATCTGACATGGGACTGAGTATGGGCTGCTAGATCTGACAAGGGACTGAGTATGGGCTGATACATCTGACAAGGGAAGGTGTATGGGTTGATACATCTGACAAGGGGCTGAGTATGGGCTGCTAGATCTGACAAGGGACTGAGTATGGGCTGCTAGATCTGACAAGGGACTGAGTATGTGCTGATACATCTGACAAGGGGCTAAGTTTCGGCTGCTAGATCTGACAAGGGGTTGAGTACGGGCTGCTAGATCTGACAAGGGGCTGAATATGGGCCGCTAGATCTGACAAGGGACTGAGTATGGGCTGCTAGATCTGACAAGGGGCTAAGTATGGGCTGCTAGATCTGACAAGGGGCTGAGTATGGGCTGCTAGATCTGACAAGGGGTTGAGTATGGGCTGATACATCTGACAAGGGAAGGTGTATGAGCTGATACATCTGACAAGGGGCTGAGTATGGGCTGCTAGATCTGACATGGGACTGAGCATGGGCTGCTAGATCTGACAAGGGGCTAAGTATGGGCTGATACATCTGACAACGGATTGAGTATGGGCTGCTAGATCTGACAAGGGGTGATTACGCGCTGCTAGATCTGACAAGGGACTGAGTATGGGCTGATACATCTGACAAGGGGCTGAGTACGGGCTGCTAGATCTGACAAGAGACTGAGTATGGGCTGCTAGATCTGACAAGGGATTGAGTATGGGCTGATACATCTGACAAGGGATTGAGTATGGGCTGCTAGATCTGACAAGGGGTTGAGTACGGGCTGCTAGATCTGACAAGGGACTGAGTATGGGCTGATACATCTGACAAGGGATTGAGTATGGGCTGCTAGATCTGACAAGGGGCTGAGTACGGGCTGCTAGATCTGACAAGAGACTGAGTATGGGCTGCTAGATCTGACAAGGGATTGAGTATGGGCTGATACATCTGACATGGGACTGAGTATGGGCTGCTAGATCTGACAAGGGAAGGTGTATGGGCTGATACATCTGACATGGGACTGAGTATGGGCTGCTAGATCTGACAAGGGAAGGTGTACGGGCTGATACATCTGACAAGGGCTGAGTATATGCTGCTAGATCTGACAAGGGGTTGAGTACGGGCTGCTAGATCTGACAAGGGACTGAGTATGGGCTGATACATCTGACAAGGGAAGGTGTATGGGTTGATACATCTGACAAGGGGCTGAGTATGGGCTGCTAGATCTGACAAGGGACTGAGTATGGGCTGCCAGATCTGAC